CCCGTTTGAGTGTTCTGCATGCGGTTTGTCTTGTGTCTGTTTGCTGCTGCTTTGTGGGGCCCCAGGCAGCGGCAAGTCATCGCTAGCTGCTGAGCTAGCTAGAGAAGATCCTGCTGCTGCTGCTGCTGCTGCTGCTGCTGCTGCTGCTGGTGCTGCTGCTGCTGCTGGCAGCTGTCTCCGTCGTCTCCTTCTGAGACAGAGAAGACAAAAAGCAGCAGCAGCAGCAGCAGCAAGAGCAGCAGCAGCAACAGCAGCAACAGCAGCAGCAGCAGCAAGACAAACCCTAAATGATGCGGCGTCCAAACGAAGTGCTGCAGGGCTCTCCTGCTGCAGCAGCAGCAGCAGCACCAGCAGCAGCAGCTGCTGCAGCAGCAGCTGCAGCAGCAGCAGCAGCTGCTGGTGCTGCCGCCAGGGATGGATGGAGAGACAGCAGCAAGAGGAAGCAGGAGGTGACAGTCCCCCCCACAGAGACAAAATAAACCAGGCCCCCACCACCCCGCAGCCACCTGCTGCTGCTGCTGCTGCTGCAGCAACAGCAGCAGCAGCAGCAACAACAGCAGCAGACAATCCCACTACAAACGATCCCAAAGAGGTGTGGGGTTTAAACACAATCTGGGTGGATGTCGATAAACTAGAAAAAGAAACAACCCCGGGATCGTCTCCTCCCCCCCCGGGATCGTCTCCTCGGCTGCCGGGATCGTCTCCTCCCCCCCTGGGATCGTCTCCGTCTCCTCCTGTGGGGTCGTCTCCTCCGCTGCTGGGATCGTCTCCGTCTCCTCCTGCGCTGCTGGGATCGTCTCCTCCCCCCCTGCTGGGATCGTCTCCACTGCTGGGATCGTCTTTGTCTCCTCCCCCCCCGGGGTCGTCTCCTCCCCCGGGATCGTCTCCTCCTCCGGGATCGGCTCCTCCGCTGGGATCGTCTCCTCCCCCCCCGGGATCGTCTCCTCCTCTGCTGGGATCGTCTCTGTTTGATGCCTGTCGATGGAAGGCTGCGCGACGAAGGGCCCCACAACTGGTAGAGGAGTTGCTGCAGGCGCATGCACAGAGAAGAAACAAACTTGCTGCTGTTTGCTGCTGCCGTAGCAGCAGCAGCAACACCAGCAGCAGCAGCAGCAGCAACAACAGCAGCAGCAGCAGCAACAATAGCAGCAGCAGCAGCACCAACGACAATAACAACAGCAGCAACAACAACAATAGCAGCACCAACAGCAGCAGCGACACCAGCAGCAGCAGCAGCAGCAGCAGCACCAGCAGCAGCACCAACAGCAGCAGCAGCAGCAGCAGCAGCAGCAGCAGCAGCAGCAGCAGCAGAATGGAAGCAGAGGATCCTGTGCTGCTGCTGCTGATTGACGACACAAATCATCTCCCCTCCTTTAGGAAGCCTTTCTTTACCCTAGCGAGAAAATGTAAACCCTAAACCCTAAACCCTAAACCCTCGCAACAAAACCCTAAACCCTAAACCCTAAACCCTAGCTGCTTCCTACAGTGTTTTATTGCCCTGTTGATATAAACCCTAAACCCTTGAACTCACGGGTACAACTCGGTGTGTTCATCATCTAGGGTTTAGGGTTTAGGGTTTAGGGTTTAGGGTTTAGGGTTTAGGGTTTAGGGTTTAGGGTTTGTGTATGCAGGGGGTTGCGGGTTTATCCAAGTGTGGGTGTATTCTCCTCTTTCCTGCTGCTGCTACCGCCGGCCATCTTTTGCTGCTGCAGTTGTTGCTGCTCCTCTTGCTGCGCTGCAGCAGCACAAACGCATCACTGACCTTGCTGCTGCATGCGCAGCATTCAGCAGCAGCAGCAGCAGCAGCAACAGCAGCA